ATTTCTGGATATGATGCCTTATGGTATAGAACTTCCCTTTGGACAGTCTGGGTCAGTTGTCCTTGCTGATCCTTCCCAACTCTTTGTGCACCCCCAACCCTCACTGACAGGGCATCATGAGATGCTGAACAGTCCTTGGCTCAGTTTGAGCACTGTTCTGCAACAACTGAAACACCAAGCTGTTATCACCAAAAATCCTGAATAGCATCATGTGAGCCTCTACAGAGAGTATTTACTCTATCTCAGTGAAACCCACACTGATATCCATCCCTTTTCCCATATCATTAACATTGTGTTTAGGTTCTACATTTTTCAACACATCTTTGTTAATCATCACCCTTCAATAAATACACATGTATGATTCCCCTAGCCTATGAACCACACCTCTGAAACATCCATAAAAAGTCCATAAAATGTCCATTGTGTTCTTTTAGTCCATGATTTAGCTTCTGTCTCTTATGGTGGTTGTTCAGGACAGGAGAGGCAGTATGATGTGTGGATGCCAAAGCCAGCTCAGGTCGGGTCTTGTATTATCTTCTGTGAGGCTTCTGTTGATTTGAGTTGGACTATAGGATTACCTCTAACAACTCAAATCATGGGTTACAACAGTTGAAAGGTGTACTCACTACAATTTACACCCCACATCCCTTTGCAGGCTGAAGAGTTTAGCATTGCAATGAACTCCTCCCTTCATCCCTGTTGCGGTCTGGGCTGGTCAATCTGTTGTTGTTTAACCCAGCAGGCAGCTCAGCACCACACAGCATTTCACTTATTTCCCCTCTTTCCAGTGTAATGGGGAGAAAAACTGGGGGAAAAAAGAAAGAAAGGTAGAATTCTGAAACAGAAAATGAAGACAGAAATAGTAGAGCAATGACAGTAATATAACAATAAAGATAATAATATATATTTACAAAACAAGCAATGCTCAGTGTAAGTGCTCACAACCCATCAACGAATGCCCAGCCAGTTCCCGACAGTCTGCTCCCCAGCCAGCACCCCTCAGTTTTATATTTTTTCACATGCTGTCATATGCTACAGAATATCCCTTTGGCTAGGGTAGGTCAGATGCCCTGGTTCTGTCCCCTTCCAGCTCCTTGTGCTCCCCAGCCCCTTGCTAGCAGGACAGCATGAGGAGCTGAAAAATGAAATGTTCTGGGCTCTGTGCAGCATTCCTCAGCAATAACTGAAACATCAGTGTATTATCAGCATTTTTTCTTCTAAAGTCAAAACAGGGCATCATACCAGACACTATGAAGAAAATCAACACTGTCCTAGCAGAAATCAGGAACAGTCCTTGAGAGCAGCCCTGTGGAGAAGGACCTGGGGGTCTTAATGGATGAAAAACTTAATATGAGCCAGCAGTGTGCCCTTGCGGCTCGGAAGACAAATGGTATCCTGGGCTCCATCAAAAGAGGGGTGGCCAGCAGGAACAGGGAGGTGATTGTTCCCCTCTACTCTGCTCTTGTGAGGCCCCATCTGGAATACTGCGTCCAAATGTGGAGCCCCCAGTACAAGAAAGAGAGGGAGCTGTTGGAGAGGGACCAGAGGAGGGCCACAAAGATGGTCAGGGGACTGGAGCACCTCCCCTATGAAGATACACTGAGGGAGCTGGGCTTGTTCAGCCTGGAGAAAAGAAGGCTGCAGGGTGACCTCATTGCAGCCTTTCAGTACCTAAACGGAGCCTACAGAGGGGAGGGGAATCAACTGCTTGAAAGGGTAGATAACTGCAGGATGAGGTGAAATGGTTTTAAGTTGAGGGAGGGGAGATTTAGGTTGGACGTCAGGGGGAAATTCTTTACAGAGAGAGTGGTGAGGTACTGGAACAGGCTGCCCAGAGAGGTTATGGATGCCCCGTCCCTGGAGGTGTTCAAGGCCAGATTGGATGGGGCCCTGGGCAGCCTGGTCTAGCATTAGATGGGAAGATTGGTGGCCCTGCATGTGGCAGGGGGGTTGGAGATTCATGATCCTTGAGGTCCCTTCCAACCCTGGCCATTCTGTGATTCTGTGAAACCAGAACACCATTCTCAGCAGTCCCTGAGAAGTGTACCTACTTCAGCATGGTCTCATCCTTGAATCACAGTCTATTGTCCATGTTGTGTACCTACCCTGTCTACTACGTAGACAGTCACAGATGCTTTGAGGTCTACCTGTTCTAATGTACACAGTAATTATTAACAGGCCACAGCTTTCTCAGAAGTATACTTTCTGTGGCATGGACTTATACGCATTCACAGTTGTTTTGAGTTATAAGTACAAAAAAAAAAAAAAAAAAAAAAAAAAAAAAAAAAAAAAGAAAAAAAGCTGCTCTGGTGCAGCTTTTTTCATTCATAATGGATCCTTCAGAGATCCTTTCAGACACTGATGTGTCGTAGTCTTATACATGACCACAGACATTTCAAGGTATACACACATGGCCTAATCCATAGATATGGATGCTGCAAGGTGTACCTGCTGTGACACAGACTTTATCATGGCCACAAACACTCTGATGAAGACTCACTCCAGAATGGACTTATCTGTAGCCGCAGATGCCTCAGGGTGTATGTGCTCCCAGGTGGGCTCATCCACAGGTCAGTCATACACTGATGACTTACATTTGGTCTGGAGTCTCAACCTGTCCAGTACATCAGCATAGGGACAGCACTGACACCATGGCCATCTGCCAGCCCAGGGACATGGCTGTTATTAAAACACCTCCAGGCAAAGCAAAGCAAGATGACAGGGAGTAGAGCAAACAGCAAGAAAAAAAAAGCTGCCAAAAATAAGCATTGGACTCTAATATATAGTAAAGCATGCAAGGCCAGTAACAACCAAAGAAGCCTACCAATTAGCAGTGAAACAGCTTTAATATCTTTAAATTTGGTCTAGCACACTCCACGGTCTAATCTCCAACCCTTTGTGTCCCATGTTGGGCACCAAAAGGACTACTGTAGATAACCTTGAAGGCATTTCAGCACCACAAAGCCGTTCACTCACTCTCTGCCAGTGGGATGGGGAAAACAATCAGGAAAGTAAAAGTTTGCGAACTTGTGGGCTGAGATTGACAGTTTACTAGGTAAAGCAAAAGCTGCACAGACAAGCAAAGCAAAACAAGGAACTCGTATGCTGCTTCCCATTGGCAGACAACTTTCAGCCACTTCCAGGAGAGCACAGCTCATCATATATGAAGGTTTGCTGGGAAGACAAACACTATCTCCTCCTTTACCCCAGCCCTTACTGCTGAGTATGGCACCCCAAGCTACAGAATATCCCTTTGGTCAGTCTGGGTCAGCTGTCCTGGCTGTGTCCCCTTCGGCAGGGCAGCATGAGAAAGAGAAAAATCTTTGGCTCTGTGTGAGCACTGTTCTGCAATAGCTGAGGACATCAGTGTGCGAACACCAAAAATTGCAAACACATCATCATACGGGCATCTGGAAAGAAAATTTACTGTATCCTAGCCAAAATCATGACAAACATACAGCCGTTAACCCTTGGACTCCTGGCAGAACTCAGATAGTGCTCAGAGCTCAGGCACCACTCCAATCACATGAAGTGCATGCCATTCGAGTTACTCATTACTGCATATAAAGCAGGAAGCACATTAGGCTATTCAGAAGGGAAAAAAAAAAAAAAGATGTTCTCATACTCTGTTTATTGTGCACAGAATAAGGGTAGAATTCAGATGTCAAATCTTCACAATAAGGTAAGGCCACTTATGAACAGTTATTTTCCATTAAGGATGCTACATTACATCTTCAGTTTAATAATAAAAAAGCAATTATTTCCCTACTTGCTCTTCATGTTTTCTGATAGAAACACAACTTTCATGCCTAAAAAGCACTTGTGTTCTGTGCAACCTGAAAAGCTGTACTCTCTGCTCTTCAGACATCCATTAAAATGACTTGCTCTTTTAGTTAGGACCACTGGAATGCCATGACATTTCACTTTTGTATTAAGTATCTGGTTAGAATTAGTAGACAAGATTGCAGCAAACAAAAGGAGGGCTAGAGCTTGTTTAATCCTCAAAAGGAGTGGTCAAACACATTAAACAAACTTCTTAGATTTTACTACACGTGGAAGAAAACTACTGAATCTGCAGATGCTTAGAAGAAATGTTTGTTGACTTTATTTACAATTCCAAGTTTATCACAACAGAGTGAAAGTTCTAACGAGCACATCTTTACATAGGGTGATGCATGAGCTCATCGGAAAAGCAGGGGGAGAACGTGGAAACGAAAGAATAAAACAAGGGACTGAAGTGACTAAAACAAAAGCAAGCAATCACAAGGGAATAACAAAAAAAAAGCACATAACACAGTATTTATTATAGGAATACTCGCAGCCTTTAAACTGTACATAACTGCTCTGATCCTTGCTGCAGTTGAAGATCCCCAAAAAGGCTGGCTATTTCCCATCTATGTATCAGTTGTTCCAGAGTGTTGTTTGGACTGACAGCTTCTCTATTTGCTTACGTTTGTAGGGATGCAGCTCCACCTAAGTCTCAGATAGGACACTTAGACGCTAGTGCAATGTACAGCTTGGTGAGACTTAGGAGGACTGGAAGATTTGAAAAAATCTGGAAGATTTGAGAAACCAGCTGTACAACAGCAGCTTTTCAGATTGTTAAGTAAATGCATTTCCATATTCCTGAGTGGTCACAAATATTACGGATAGGGGAGAAGGGTTTAAGATATTTTAGAAATCCAATAATGCCGAAGTTCCATATCTTTATTAATGTGTTTTCTATCTCATAATTTTCCCTGAGTTCTGAACCATTTGATTTAGTTATCTGAAGGAAACAGAGGTGTGTTCTAATGAAATGCATCAACAGGTAATCCTACTTGACAAATTCATAGGTTACAGCTGTAGCTGTCAGGCTTCTATTTCACCGTGGAACAACCTCTCTGAAACCAGGCAAGCTGAACTGCTGAGCCATTTGAAAAATATATAAAAGCATTAAAGAAAGCAGGCAATTCCAATTTGTTACACATAAAAAAGTCTTATTTAGATATCTTAAAAAATACAAGTTATATATATATAAAAAAAAATCAAAGCTACTTATCAAAATTTTGTTAAATAAAGTCATTTAAGATCAGGTTCTGGCAAGTACTAAGTAACAGTATATAATCTCAACTAACATTTTATTTATCCAGTGCTAGCTGATAACAGGTTCAGCTTGCCAACTTAACATGATAATCTCACCAGGCTTCTACAGTGTTCGTATTTAAAACATTTGGAAAACAATGTAAGATTATATTATACAGCAAATAATAAGCACTCATGTTGCTGGACCCACAACAACATAGTGAAATAGATTCTCCTTTCTGTCATTTCTGTTTAATCAATATTCAGTGTAAGCACGTACAGAGAGCAACGCTGGTCATAAATAATGTGTTTAACTGTTCATTACAGTTAAAGCCAAACAAAACAGATTTATCTGTTAATTAAATATACTAGTGGCTCTATATAACATTCCAGTGACATTCTGCTTTTAGACAACTTCAATATTGAACAAAAATGTCTTCAACCCCAGCAGACTGAGGACAGGAGCACTTTCGCAAAGGATCAGAAATGTCATGATTTTCTTTTCCAGCCTGGTTAGAAGATTTATCTGTTTGCTAATTCTGTATAAGATCACAGGATGTCAGTTCTGACACCTAGGCTTTAAATGTGAATAAAAAAGCAAAGTTATTTCTTCAAACTGTTGTATAAAATAACTTTCTTGTCACTGCCTTCCTTCCAGTAGTAAAAAGTTCACTTTTTTCTAGGACTGAAGTCAGTAGGTTGATTTAGAGGTTCCATTTGAATTTGAAGAGTAAGAATTAGATTTCTTGGGGTATCTGCCTGATGAGAGAGAGACCTGCATCCTTCGTGTAGTTCGCACACTTCGGCAAATAAGAGCATTTTTAAGATTGTCTCTGAAGTCTTTTGAAATATAGTAGTAAATGAATGGATCAATACAACTGTTCAAAGTGGATAGACACAGTGCAGTTATGTATGACATGTACAGAGAGCTCTCATTACTGTTTCTGAGTTGCAGATAGTGCACAACAAGTAGCACATTGCTTGGTGTAAAACATATGAGATACATGGCCAGGACAGCAATAATGAGTTTGATTGCTCTTTTTCGTTTCTTCCCAGTGCTTATATCTGAGATTGAAGCATTCAGAGTCTTAATCATTAGTATGTAAGCAACAGCAGTGATGAGAGCTGGAATTAGGAAGAGTCCAATTGCAAGTGAGAGGAAGTAATTGAACATGTCATGAGCCAAAACATTGCTAGGCAACACATCATGGCAGGTAGTGATGTTAAGGTCTGAAATATATGCTGTCTGATTAACAAGATACAGTGGAATGGTTCCCAACAAAATCAGTATCCAGATAGCAAGGGAGATGCCCAGGGCAATTTCAAACTTCTTTCTTGAGTGCACTATGGGGTTCACTACAACCCAATACCTTTGCACACTGAGACATGTCATAAAAAGAATGGAGCAGTACATATTTCCATAAAAAAATGCAACAAGCACTTTGCAGAGACCTTCCCCAAATAGCCAGTTATTGCCATTTACATGGTACGCAATCTTCAGTGGGAACCACACAACAAAGAGAAGGTCTGCCAATGCCAAGTTAACCATGTAAATCACAGCTGGATGTTTCTTCTTTGTCCTGAAAAAAAAGACCCAGATGGCCATAGCATTGCTTGGCAAACCAACGATAAAGACAATGACATAGACAATGGGAAGAAAAACTGTAGTCAGTTTTCCTGTAAGGACTTTTGCTGCAAAGTCATCCACTTTGTATGACTCCTCAGAGGCATTATCAGTATTTGGAACCCTCTGCCCAGCAAAACTTCTTCCTTTTGAACTGCTGGTTCCACTTCTCTCTAGAAAAAGAAATAAAAATTGAGAAAATGCTGTTATTTACTGTTCCTGATTTTTCTTAATATTTTTTGAAATCTTTAAGATAAACTAGGTAGCATGATCTACACTGTACAATTAAAGAAGGCCTTATCAATAGAAAAATTAAACATTTTCAAATACTTGACAATTTTTCTTCCCTTTTCTTAGTTTATTATCTAAACAACACCTATATCCTTTTTCAAGGATTGTATCAACTACCAGAAAACCTTCCCACATCATCAGGTGCTCCTACTAGCTCAACAGTTGAAATAGAAACTGCTTTAAGTATCCCACAGCACTATTATCCTTTTTCATGGTGCTGCCAGATTGCTCAAGTGCTGAGATTCATAAAACTCTGCAGCAGGTATCCAATATATATGCAATACAAGTTTCTTAGATGAGATGGCCTCAAAATCAGCTAGGCAGAAAATAGAGCATGGAATCATAGAATGGCTTGGGTTGGAAGGGACTTCAAAGATCATACAGTTCCAAGCCCCACTGCTGCGAGCAGGGTTTCTAACCAATGAGGCACTAGACCAAACTGCCCAGGGCCCATCCAACCTCACCTTGATTTCCTCCAGGAAAGGGGCATGCTGTCCTCAAACTAGCTGAAACTGAAACAACTGGAATGCAATGCAGGAAGCTATGTGTGCAGGAACCAGAGAGTTGATGGTTGGGTCACCATCCCTGGATGTGTTTAAAAACTGTTTGGGTGTGGTGCTCAGGGACATGATTTAGTGGAGGGTTGTTAGAGTTAGGGCAGTATGGTTAGGTTGTGGTTGGACTCAATGATTTTTAAGGTGTCTTCCAACCTGAGCAATTCTGTGATTCAGTGATCCTATGTGTAAGAGAGCTCTGAGGAAAGATGTTACACCATATCCAAAGCTAAATATGAACACACTAACTTTGCCCAAGAAGATGCAGAAGGGGCAGACATCTGTAATCTCCTTCCAATTCTCAAGTAAGGTAGTTAAGCAGTCTCTTCAATTTCCACCCAAATCACTACGCCGCTATAACTGGCAGCCAAGACCACTCCATACACCAGAAAGTTATTACTTCAGGTTTTGCTCTCTCTTTGTATGCCACATAAACCTGAAACTATATAGGTAAACCAGACACTCCTGACTGCTCTGTCTTGTATGACAGCCCTCATGTGGCTCAGTCCAGAGACTCCCACTACAACACCTTCCATACCCAATGCAGTCCACTTGCACAGACTAGTGAAACTGCACTAACAGAAAATGTCAATGCAATTACTCTGTTCCAAAGAGACAGCCAAAAATCCACAGGGGTAGACTGAGTGGACATGAAAGATGACTGTTGGTGGTACAAGTATTTTACCTTTATCACAGTTTCTATCAATATCTGTGAACAGCTGTAGTGGGAAAAAAACAACAACACAACCAACAAAACAGCTCCAACTCCCCCAACCCAAAACAACACAACAAAAACAAACAAACAAAAAAAACAAACAACACACACACAAAAACGCACAGGAGTTTAAAGAGCTTTCTTAACCAAACAAGTTTGAGCGTAAGAAGCCAACAACTGTGTTTAAGGATGATGCTTTTTTCTTTCAGGAATGACTGTTTCTAATATAATTAAAAAATAAAACTGCTTAACAGCTTAAATTTTCAAGCATAAGAATTATCAGACGAGAACCAGATAAATAGACGAGTATCCGTGTTTTCCAACACAGGCTGTCAAAATAGATTCTCGGAAATAGACATATAACGTGTACCAATTCTTGGCTACATAGGTGGTACTGGTACAAGGGTTTTGGTTTTTTAGATGATGGGACTTTCTATGAAATAGATAACCCACGAGGGAGGGATTGGATTCACCTGCCTAGAACAGGCAGGACAATTTCTGGCAACAGGAAGGCCAATATAGTGAGCCACGCTTCAAAAAGAAAGACTTGTGGAGGAAGCTCCAATATCAGAGAATTGCAGGGGCTGGAAGTGACCTCAAGAGATGATCAAGTCCAACTCCCCTGCTGAAGTGGATTCTATACAGTAGGTTGTACAAAGTAGGTGTCCAGATGGGTCTTGAATATCTCTATAGGAGACTCTACAATTTCTCTAGGCAACCCGTTCTGGTGAGCCATCACCCTTACCTTAAAGAAGTTCTTCCTCATGTCAGTATGGAACTTCCTATGTTCAAGATTAAGGTTATTGATCTGCATCTTATCACTGCACACCACTGAGAAGAGCTGGGCCTCATCCATTTGCCTCCTACCTCCCTTTAGACATTTATAAAATATAAAAATATATAAAAAATGGCAATGCTCATGCTTTGCAACCAACTGGGGAATAAGTCAGGCCAAACCAAACAGTGATAAATATTCCCTAGTTGCCTCCTGCAATATGAGCTAGAAGGTCAGCTACTGCAAAGGTGCATATAGCTACAGATGATCCTCTTGCATTCTTCCAGAGAAACATGCATCTTCTACTCCCTTCTCTTCCATGGAGTGTCTATATACCAATGCATACAGCACGGGGAGTAAACTGAAAGAACGAGAAATATGTGTGAGGCCTCAGGATCACAGTCCCCCTGTAATCACAGAGATACAGTGGGAGAGCTTGCGTGACTGGAATGCTGTAATGGATGGCTATGTACTCTTTAGGAAACAAAGGCCATCAAGGTGAGGTGATAGAGTTGCTCTTTATATGAGACAACAACTAGAATACATCAAGCTCTGCCTAGTAACGAATGAGTGGAGACCTTATGGATCAGAACTAAGGGGAAGGCTCACATGGGTGACACCACTGTGGGTGTTTACTACTGACTGTCTGATCAGGAGGAAGAAGCTGATGAGGCCTTCTACAGAAAGCCAAACAGTAGCCTCACTATCAGAGGCACTTGTGGCTCTTACGGGGTATTTCAACTATCCTGATATTTGCTGGAAAAGCAAGACAGCCAGGCAAACACAGTCCAGGAGGTTCCTCCAGTGAATTCAAAATAACTTTCTGACATAAATGGTGGAGGAGCCAATGAGAAGTCTGCTGCTGGACCTTGTTCTTACTGCTTGGGAATATGAAGGCTGGGGGCAGTCTTGGATGCAGAGACCACAAGATAGTGGAGTTCAGGACCTTACATGGATGAAACAAGGCAATAAGTAGGATTACAACCCTGAACTTCAGCAGAGTCAACTATGACCTCTTCAAGGACCTACTTGGAGGTATCTCATGGATTACAGCACTGGATTGTAAATAGGCCCAAGAGAGTTGGTAGACATTCAAATCCCATTTCTTCCAAGCTTATGACTGCTGCATCCCTAAGAGTAAGAAATCAGGCAAAGGTGGCAGGAGTCCTGCATGTATGAGAAAGGAGATCAGTGACAATCTCAAGTGGAAGAAGAAAGTCTATGGAATGTAAAAAAGGGGTCTGGCTGCTTGGGAGGAATATGGGAATGTTACCAGGGCACAAATGGATGCACTGAAAAAGGCCAAGGCCCACTTTGAATTAAATCTGGTTTGGGAGGTTAAGGACAACAAGAAATGCTTCCTTAAGTACATCAGTAGATGTAAGATGAGGGAAAATATGGGGCCACTGCCACATGTGGTGGTTGCCCTGGTAAAGCAGGACTCCAAAAAGGCACAGTTACTGAATGCCTTCTTTGCTTCAGTCTTTACTACTAGAACTGCCTCTCAAGAATCCCAGAACCCTGGCAGTAAGATTCTGGAGCAATGAAGACTTCGTGGTTGAGGAGGATCTGATCAGAGATGATCTAGGTAAACCTGACGCACACAAATCCATGGTCTCCAATGGTATACGCGCACAGGTGCTTAGGGAGCTGGCAAAAACAACTGCCAAGCCACTCTCTATCATCTATGAAACATCATGGAGAACAGGAGAGTGCCTGAGGACTGGAGGAAAGCCACTGTCACTCCAGTCTTCAAAAAGGGCAAGGAAGAGGAACTGAGAAACTACAAGTCAGTCAGCCTCACCTCCATCCCTGGGACTTAATGGAAAAAACTTACTCCATTTGCAATATCCAAGCAAGAGGAAGAAAAGGTGATTGTCGTGAGCAGACAACATAGACTCACCAAGGGGAAACCATGCTTGTCTAATCTGGTAGTGATCTATGATATCATCACAGTCTGGGTAGATGGGGGGAGAGCAGCACATGTTTTCTACCTTGACTTCAGCAAGGTTTTTACACTATCTTCCATAACATCCCCATACGTAAACTGAGAAAGCGTGGGATAGATGAGTGGATGGTGCGGTGGACTGAGAAGGAACTGGGCTTGTTTAGCTTGGAGAAAAGAAGACTCCAGGGAGACTTCATTGTGGCTCCCTTCCAATACATGAAGGGAGCATATGAACAGGAGCAAGAACGACTGTTTAAATGGGTTGATAGTATAGGACAAGGGGGAGCAGTAGGACAAGTTTTAAACTAAGACAGGGGAGATTTAGGTTAGATATTAGGAAGAAGTTTTTCACTTAGAGGGTGGTAACACACTGAAACAGGTTGCCCAAGGAGGTTGTGGATGCCCCATCCCTGGAGGCATTCAAGGCCAGGCTGGATGTGGCTCTGGGCAGCCTGGTTTAGTGGTTGGTAACCCTGCCCACAGCACGGGGATTGAAACAAAATCTTTGAGGTCCTTTTAACCCAGGCTATTCTACGATTTTATCATTACGCGGTAAGGTCTGACCTGCTCAAAAGGAGCCCTGTGGAGAAGGAGCTGGGTGTTCCAGTAGACTGTAGGTTGGCCATGAGCTTTGCTGCTGATGCTCATGGGTTTGTTTGAAATGTATAATCAAAAATATTCTCCAAAAACCCTATAGTGTTAGCGCAACACTGAGGAACAAAAGCAACACAAAGTAGATTGAAGAACTCATGACCTACAATTAGTATTGCAAGAGTGATAGAACAGAGACAATAGTTTTATTGTTGCTATCTTTTGTTCTGTTTTTGAAGACATGGTCGAATTAAACGGATTATTTCAGACACCAAGTTTGGCTTTCATGCTCACTTCTTTTGGTTTCAGCTTCAAAATTTCACTGCAGTTACTGGGCAGCTTTTATTAGCCCAGCTGGCATGCATAGGGAGACAGTTCTGCATCCTGTTTCTGTTGCAGTTAACACTCCCTCCCAGGGCAACCAATCCTTTGTTAGGTATGTGCATTTTCTACAACCCTTTCATACTCCTTCAGTGCTCGCTGTTTTCCATAACAATTGCTGTTTTTTTCCAAGCAGAGTTTCACTCAGCCTGACTCAAACACAGAGAATGCAGTTAACTTGCTTATCTGCCCACAGGAAAAGCTTACCAGCCATCATGGGGACGAACATATTCCTTCCACACCAAAAGACCGTTTCAACACCTTTGCTATTTGTCCAGTATCACAGATTTACAGAATTTCCCAAGTTGGAAAAGACCTACAAGGATCACTGAGTCCAACTCCTGGCTCCACAAGGAACTACCCAAAAATGGGACTGCGTTGTTCAAATGCTTCTTCAGATACTACCCACAGTGCAAAAAATGAACTACTATGCCTACCCTGCAGATACAGAAATGGTGGTAGCACACGGTATCTAGTACAACTACCGCAGTTCACAGTGACAATATCCTCACAGGACTATAGTTAGAACTATCCCAGTGCTTGGTTCAACAGCACAGATTCACTGTAAATCCACGACATCATGAGTCTGTTGGACAACAGCCACGACTCCTGACTTAGAATCGTAGAATCATTAAGGTTGGAAAAAAAGACTAAGAACATAGACTAACTTGGGGTGGAAAGGACCTCAAAGATCATTTAGTTCCAAATGCCCTGCTTTGGGCAGCCCACTCAATCAGGCACTAGATCATGTTGTCCATCGCCTGGTAATGCTTAGTCCTAACGATCACCTATTCCAACTGTGGACCCATCACCACCATGCCCCCTGAACCATGTCCTCTGCAGCACATCTTGGCACAGAGGGAATCCTATCACCAGCTCTCTCCTGTCTCAACATCAGAACATCGAGCACCCGGCTGCAATGCTGAAGCTCACCACTTTCCCCTGCCAAGTCGTTTCCGCAGTCACAGCTCAGATAAGGGATGCCAGGAGGCAGACCCACATCACCGACTTCGCGCTCAACCACGAAATTTGCACCTAACGCCTCACTGATTTTCACCGCCTGAGGATTTCACGCTGTCTGCCCTCCGTCTGCGAAACCTACGACAGTTCCAGACGGCACAGACGAACACTGAGCCAAAACGTACCTACGCACAGCAAAGCAGAACACATCTGTTGCTATCGCGCCCCGGTTCGAGCACGCAGCTGATAACCGCGTAATAAAAATCTAGCGTTTGCGTGCTGAGAAAGCACGACGTACCACGAGGCTGACTTCATTATTTACACAGTCCTTATGCAGATACTTTTACTACAGAAGGCACAGTAGGAACGAATGCAGGACGGCACAGTGCAAAGTGCACGCTGACATACAGCGGTGGGACTTGCTGTAAAGGCAGGGAAGAGCGAACATTAAAGCAGCAGAATGTCACTTTTTTTTTTTTTCTTCTTCCAAACACTTATGTCCAAAAAAAGCAATATAAACTAACGAAAGTAGGAATTAAAGTTAAGGAGAAAACAAAGAAACAAACAAACAAAAACAGCCGGAACAAAAAGTGAGAACAGTCTTTAAAGTTCGCTGTTTTGTTTGCGGGTTTTTTTCTGATACAGCCTCAAGCAAATCGCTAGCCGATCACGAACAGCTCCGCACCCGGTTACGTGAAGCGCCGGCACCGCGCCGCCCGACGGAGGGGCCGCCAGGACGGACAGCCAGCCAGGACGGACAGCCAGCCAGGACGGACAGCCAGCCCGCCCGCCCCGCAGCCCGCGGACCCCGCGCCGTCTCACCTGTGGGAACGGCAGCCACCAGCAGGGCGCTGAGCAGCAGCAGCACGCACAGCCCGCGGCGCCCAGCCATCCTCCCTCCGCTCCTGCCGCCGCCGCCGTCCTCTCTCGCACGCCCGACCAGTTTCGCCTGATACCTGAGCGAGGAGGGGTGGAGGGGGCGGGAGGGCGCGGCCTCCCCGGCAGCGGGCGGGAGGGCGGGGCCGCGCCTCCGGGGTGAGCGGGGCAGCGCCTGACATGGCGGGGGGAGCCCCGCCGCGGGTTCCCTCGCGGCTCCGCCCCTCGCGGCTTTGCGCTTCTGTCGGGACAGCGCTGCTGCTGCTGCTGCAGGTGTCCGGCGGGGAGCCCAGACCGGTGTCCGCAGCAGGGGCGGCCGCTGGGGCTGCTTTAGAGTTCGTATTGCAAGTTTTGAATCATCGAATCGCGGTCATAGAATTAGAGAATGGCCAGGGTTGAAAAGGACCTCAAAGATCATCAAGTTTCAGCCCCCTGGGGGCAGGGTTGCTGACCACTTGAGCAGGCTGCCCCGATTTTTCACCAGCTTCGGGTGGTGAGGCTCACTGCACAGAGTCAGAAATCACACCAGAACAGCTCTGGATTGTTCCTCGTGTACACCTGGTGAAGTGCATGGCCCTGCGTGTGCTGTGGCATCACCGGGGTACGGCGGTGAGGATGTCTGAGCTGTAGGAGGGGAACACCTGCCACATCACCTTTGTTTTTTCCCCACGTTCTTCCGACGCTGCTCACTGATCAGGTTTGTATTAGAAGAACAGCAGTACTTCAGTGTACTGCAGTAACATTTTTATCAGAATAGCCCAGCAGCGTGTTGTTTGATCTGCTCTGTGTTGGGACACTGCCGTGATTCACACTGACCCGCACCTCAGCTGGAACAGACCACAGTGTGTTAGCAAGGAAGGGGCCGAGGGGCGTTTTTGGAGTCTTATTGCTCCTGCTGACTCATAAAGTGCTTGTTTGTGTTTGCCAGGCTTCAAACTATTTTCAATGTGTTGTCATATGAAAAACAAGCAAGAATATGTGTAATGGTTGCTTAAGCCATTGCATTTGCGGGTAACTCAGCACAAGAGGGATGTTTTTGCTGTTGGCCTCATTTAGGCTCGGGGAACACCAGGTTCCTTTCATATTTACAGATACAGATTTCAGGAATAATGCAACCAAGAGTAACGTGATGCTAGCTGTTTTCAATTTATAGATACATATTTTAGGAGTGTGTTTAGACTTGTAAAAATCAAGTATGCAAGTTATCAAATTCAGAAATTAAAACCCTTTCAGCCATAATTCACACCTCTGGACATGGAAGAGGCTTTCTGGTCACATCAGTGGTGTCCTCTCCCCCTTTGTTAGTACGCAGAATGCTTAGCGTTCAGCTAATGATAAACTTGTGGCTTTCTTCCATTCTTTTATTTTTATTTATTTAAATGAATGAATATATTATGAATGTGCTCTTATTCTATGTTGCTCTGAAGACAAAATTGTTCTTTTTGTGTACTATGATGTTTGTGAAGTCTCACTGCAAGTACATGCAGTCTGCATTGCTCACAATTTACAGGTGGAAAATGAAGCACAGAGTTAACAAGGTAAATATGCTTGGAAGTGCTGGGTGTCTAGCTTGTACTCAAGGGCCTTTTTCTGGGGGGAGAGGGGGAGGAAGGGGGAGTTCTTTGTTATAAGTTAGTCACTCAAAGCATGTATTTGCTCCTGTTTGTCATCACTCACAGCTCCCGTTGGTTCCTATTTGTCATCCATGTCATCCACCCAGCAAAGTCTGCTCATCTGAATCTCAGCTCCCTCCTGAGCACTGAGAAAGTTATAGCCCATCTCTCTGGAGTCCCCCGTCTTCTCTCTTACTTCCTGTGCTGTTCTGTTTACTTTACTATTACAGACTGCTTCATGAGTACTTTAGTCTCCAGCTCCTAATCACCTTGTTCAGTGAGTTGTAGTCTTCCCACCTGGGTTTTATCTAATCTCCCTTTCAAATTGGCATGCATGTATGTGCTGGCTTTCAATTTCTACGGTGTTTTCCCTCTGTTTCTATGGTGGTTTCCCTCTCAGATCTGAAGTACTAAGATGTATTTAGCCCTCCTCTCATCTGGGTCTGCTCCAGCCGGTACTCTCATGCTGTGAGTGCTGTGCCAGCACCTAAATTTCACTGTTCATTATTTCTTGATTTATTCTATCCAGTCTGTCTTTTTGTTCCCTTTACAATTCAAAGCAGATGGTTTATCCCTTATTTGCCTGGATTAGCAACAGTGGAAGGAACTGAGAATGAGGTAAAAGGATTAATTGCTGCCCCTACATAAAATCTGCTGTAGGCTGTTCCATGAAGGTTTGGAGCAGTGTCTGAACAAGTTCTGTAGCTCTCTGCAGAGTCAAGTGTCACTGCAGGTGTGTTTTTTTGCAAATGAAACTCTGAGCTTAGCCTGTAAGTATAAGAAGACCGAGCTGATGTACGTTTCTAACTTGGCTAGGTCTTTGTAGGAATGTCAGTAATTGACATAAAGATTATCTCCTTTCAAAATCTCATAAGAAATTATTGAAATTCACTGGCGTTTAAACAGTGGAGCTTATAAGACTGTCAGCAAGGCACCTGTAATGCTGGAGAATTGTCAACTTGCTTTTCAGCAAGCTACTGATGTTGGGTATGTTTAAGCTGTGGATTCTAGAGCTCCATATATGCCTTGCTAACAAGGCTTTAGTTCTGCTTTTGTTCTCTTTATTTACTTTTATCTAGAAGTTAAGTGTTTTTAGCTAACATTGTCAGCATGCATTTTATTTTTCTAGCAAAATTATACATTTATAGTGTGCAGATTAGTTCTGCCTCAAAACTTAAAATGTATGTAATAGAACCTGGACACTTGCTGTATATAGAGCTTTCTTTCTGCACTTCAGTTGCACTGTGAATTTCTGAATTCAGTCAGTGAATGGGTTTATAGTCTGTGTTTTACTGTAATCCAATCACATGCCTGTTGGGGAAAAAGGTACCACATGTCTTAAATGTTAGCATCTTAAATGCTTTTTTAAGGTGCAAGAAGAACTTGTTTTTGGAAGACAGAGGATATAAAGATCTCCCACCTTTAAAAATCAGCGTATCTTGTAGTGATGGCACAAGCACTTGCCATACCTTTCAAACAGTGTGATTGTGCTACAGTCCAAGGACAGAGTGGGAAGTTTGGTTTGAATAAAATAATAATTTCACTTTGTTAACTTCAGTACTGTGAAGCCTTCCTCTTTGTGTTCCTTGTTCGTACGGTGACACTTTCTCGCATATTTAGTAGTCTTTTCCTCTGTCTTTTTTTTTTTTTTTTTTTTTTTTCAGAATCTTTGGATAGGTCTCAGACTATTTTCTGCCCAGTTCTTGTTCAGCTTTGCTGGCAGACTTATTGTGTACTGCATACTTGTTTTCACTAATGTCCATGGCACTCATGTTCATCCAGGATTTCAGAAACAAGGGGTAATGGGCAGCAACTGTGTTTTATTTCGTTGGTAGCAAAGCTCAGTTTTATTTTACTATGTGCTTAAGAATTCACTTCCATTGCCTTTCTTGTTTGCGTGTTCTGTGAGTATTGTAGTGATGTTAGTGCTGGGGATGCCAGTGTGGTTAGCGTATTAATTCATGGCATTTTAGGGTCATAGTGTTGGAAGAATGGTTATGTAGTGTGAGTTGTTTAAGGAAGTCCATTAATGGTTATTGGGTATCTTCCTGATTTTTCTGACCTTCTATAAGCAGTATCCTGTATTTACTCCTGATTTTTGGCCTTTAACACTAACTGTAAATTCAGCTTTCCAAACATGAGGAGACAGGTTTTGGACTGGAAGCATCGCAAAGAGAAGTGGCAAAGGAACAAAATATTAGGTACGCCCGGTGTTTGGAGGATACAAACATAGGTCACCCAAGCCTTGTTTCACACTGACATGGAGCTAGAGATGTGACTCCTGTTTACAGTGACCTTTCCTTAATAAAGGACACGTGAAGTAAAAAAGGCTGGTGCTAAGCAGTGCTTCTGCACTTATGTTGGCAGTTGTTTACCCTGCAGTACATGTACCTTCAAGAGTGTGTATGGATACACTTAAAAGAAAGCAAAGCAAAACAAAACAAACAGACAAACACCAACAAAAGTATGTTGTGGTGCTCAAATCAAGTAATTGGAAATTAGGAAGTGCTGTAATTTGGGCTTCCTGTACATTCTCAATTCAGCCTGCTTATGCACGTGCATTTTGAAAGGAGTTTAGTTATAACATTACATCCAGTCTTTTCTGTGGTGCACTGCATGGATCATGGGCTCTTGAATGAACAGATAATCTCAAGTACCTTACAAGTACAGATAGTATCAAGATACCAGGATTTAGCTGGTACTGACCTATTGTACTACTGCTGTTGTAAACTGGGGAAGTATTCTCTCTGCAGAGATAGGAATTCAGAGAAAGGAATATGTAGATAGCTTACAACTGATCAGTGAAAATGAGTGCTTGCATGTCTGCTATACATAATAGCATTCTGTCACCTGTGCTGAGTAAATGAAAAAGTAGTTCATTATTAAGTTTAGGAAGAAAAAAAGAAAATAATACCTCAACAAAAAGCAGCACGATTACTGTGCTGGTATGTTTGTTCGAATGGGTGCTACTGTGCCCTTCTGTAGTAGCCAGATACTCTTCAGAGCATGCCACCTGCAAAGAGATAATGCTGGATGAGCTTGCATTGACACTTGGACTTCAGCCTTACAACAATAGAGAGAAGATTATGGAAGAGCTGTATGCTTAGATATGCAAGCTATTTGCAGCAGAAATAAAACAAGGAAGGCTGTGGCAGGAAATTATGCACTATATTAATAATTCTGAACTCGATAAGGATATTCCACATCTTTCTCTTTCAGAATCTTAGTGGTCTGTCTCGCGTAGGAAGTTTATTTACAGCTAATTGCAAATGTAACTTGGTTTCTGCTGACACCATGGGACTATCCAAACACCAAATTACTTTTAGGAGAAATTTTAATTATCTAACCATTAAGAGCAATAATTGAAAATATTGAAAGCACAGTTAAAAATGGTAAAAGCCATTTCTACTCACTATATTCCTTCTGGAAATACAGTGACAACACATTGGTTCCAAGGGAGAGTTTAAGTTAAAAATTATG